GACGGCACCGGCACTCGGGGCAGGCCCCCGAGACGCGCTTCCCGCAAGAAGAGGTGCCGCAGCTCGTCGTGCCCCACCACAAACTTCACTCCCGGCCGCTGCCCCGTGCAACTGAAGGGTATCAAACTTTATTCCAGATCTCTTTGAACAGGCGGGAAGGGACAAACCAAACCGGCGTCGCCAGGCGGCGGCTTTCAAACGCAGACACTGATCAACCCCCAGGTTATTTATACATGATACAGCCCGCCCATCCCCCAGCTTGTTCCGATTAAACGACGGCATTTCAGAGCACCCCAAGCGCCTCAACGTCGGCTGCTTCTAAACACCGAGACGCACGGGTTTTCTGGCAAATCAGATGCGGCATTTTGGGGGGGTTAGTTCCTCAATCTCTAGAAAGGAGGAAGGAAAAACAAAAATCAGGAAAATCACGTCTTTAAAGGTTGCCTTTTTACAGCAGGTACAGATTCGGCAGATTTCCCCCCCGAAGCAAGTCGGAAACCCTCTTGTTCAGCTTGGCAAGACGAAGAGCGACTCCAGTGGTTAAGGAGAACCAACCAGGCGAGATCAGTCTGACCAAACTGATTTCGAGGCTTTATTGTCATTTCCCTTTGGGGCCAGTTTCCAGCGGTTTTCCAATATCCTTCCCACGCAGTTTAAGGCCTGGAATCAAAGGAGACAACCACCATAAGCTGCCATCAGCACTCGATCCTTCACCCAGTAACATCGTTTCCTCCAAGTTTTGCTAAGGCAGAGACCATCCCCAACCACGGCAGGGGAACCAGAGCGAGGTGGAATCCTACAATGAGCACCAGGCCAGTCTCACACCAAGCTCCAGTTCTTGCCTGGGCACTGACATCCCCCTAGAAATGGTATCTGGACCATCCTAGGAGAGTAACGTCAGCCCTGGTGGCTGCAAGATACTTCCCAAGTACACTCAGGCCTTCACGGGTCTCAGTATTGCAGATTTGGTGTGGGGGGGAGGCATACGGGGCTGGACCCCAGGGCACAGCCCTGCACACCAAGACGAACAAACACCAAGAAGAGCTCCGAGTTCTGGATTGAGTCAGCAGATCCAAGTGTCACCAGAACACGGCTCAGTGACACTGCCCCCACAGTAACCTACAGCTAGCAACTGTTCCTGACGCGGAAAGCGTAACGTGAACCAGAACATCTCCCCCAGGCACTGAAGATGTTGTCTTTCTTGTTGAATTCTGCTTTCCTGACTTACCGATGGCTCTTTCGATCTTGCCCATGACCTGGTTGTTGGGGATTGCTCTTCCTGATTCGTAGTCAGCAATGACTTGTGGTTTTTCATTGATTTTCTAAAAAGAGAGGAGGCATCTCAAACACTGGCTGCATACACAGCAAACAGCACCACCTCCCAGTACTCACACAGAGAAGTAACAGCCTCTAATCATGCCAGGATCAGAGAGAAACCGCTACCTCCAGGTGTACTCCAGCACCACTACTGCCTCCCTCCACTATTTGAATGTCACCACTGATGGTGACACCCAGCCTGGACAGACTTCTGCTTCCCTCAGCCTCCCAGGAGGAGCAGTACCACTACATCCTGCCGTTCCTCCAGACGGCAGTGAGCTGCTGAATGCCGTGTCAGGCCCGGTTGGTACAAAAGAACTCACAGGGCTGCTGGGTTGATGGGAGGAGAGGGGAAAAGAAAAAAAGCAAGCCCCCTGCCAGCTTGCCTCCAAGCAGGTGTTCAAGGGCTGCACAGATTTCCCTAACACATTTCCCAGAGAACTAACGTAGCCGTGAGATCAGACTTCAGAGACATTGCGTTCACCCGGCTTCCTGCTCATGACACCATCCCGCTGCAGCTGCCCATGAGGGAACAGGAAAAGTGTCCCCCTTCGCCTCGAGGTGCCTCATCCTGGCTCAGGAGGGTGGGAGCAGAGGCCAGGCAATACTCACTGTGGCCAAGTCCTTCTGTGTCATGCCCTTGCTCTGCCGCCCCTGCTGAATCACTTTGCCCACCTCCAGGGGAACTCTGTCATGGTGCAGCTCTTCTGTCTCTCGGTCAAGCTTGGCCGTGTTCTTTGTAATAAAGTGTTGTTTGTTTTGGCCCGCTGCCCCTGTCATGCAAAGCAAGGACAAAACCAAAAACCAAACAAAAAAGAAAAGAAAAACAAGGACAAACAAAACAAGGCTCAGAGCTGGCCAAAAAGCATCAACGCGCTTTTCCCAAGCACTCAGCTGTCCAGGGTCCCAGGGAGCTTTTAAGACTTCAACATGCCAACATCAGCACGGATCTCAACCAGATCCTGCCCGCTGCAAGTCAGAGGACATGTTATCTTAATCCTGTTAGTGCTGATGTCTAAACACAGCCGTGCAGAGCCCTCTTCTCACTTCACATCTGAGCTTCAGTCCAGATAAGCAAGATTTTGCTGTTTCTTGCAGGTTTCATAATCAAACTTAATTCCAGACACACGTTTGTGACACAGCACAGGGAGATTAATATTCCAACTCGAACCTTGTTTGCTCAGGTAAAAGGCAGCATGAATAAGCGTCTTTTAATCAATTTTATGATACCTTTCGTAAGTAAACTCTAGCTCTGGTTAGCTTTGCTGAAAGCCTCAGGTTCAAACACATGCTGTTTTGTCTCATTTTAGTTACATTATTTAAGTCACAGTTTGAACCTTTCCTCTCACATAAGTCTCTGACATTCAGTCTCAGGATAAATCTGATTAAACCCCATTCAAGGATCACCTATTCATTTATTTCTAACCACCACACGGTGAGAGAACCCGAAATTTACATCGGACAGGCAATGAGGCATTTTTAAAGACCAACACCACAGGAAGACGTGCGGAAGGTTTCCAGTGACTGCTTGTGTTATCACCGAGACCTGCCAAAACTGGGAGTTTAAGTTTTGCGATCCTGAAAGCTCCTCCGAGACCTTTACAGGCACTTACAGGCACCAGCCGGAACTCAGCCCTGGGTAACCCGAAACTCGGACGCGGCTCCAGGCGGGCACCCCCGCTTCCCCCCGGCGTGCCCGGCGGCCCC